TTACACATTCTTCTCTTTTCAATTAATTTTCAAAGTACAGTATAGAAATGTCTATGAATGGCTTACTATATGGCCTAATTCCAACATGAGGTCCTTCAGAGACTCCAGAAAATAGATAATTGCAGATGAACAAAGTAAATTAAGGGCCCCAATGGAAACTTAAAACTTCTAGACCATTTACCATTAATGCATACACCAAAACCACATTCTTTTAGGCAACAAAGATATGTATCTAAAAGAAAGTTAACATATATGCTATTGACTTATACTGAGGGTTGCCACCCCTCTTTTAAAGTTTTAACCTTGTATATTATTATCACTATAATTTTAGGAAAACATTTAATAAAAAATTAAACTTTTAAGTTATTAAGTCCACTATTTCTGTTACATAATACAAAAGGTTTTAAGATTATATATTCTTGTGTGCCTCAAAGTATACCTTCACTCTTTCTTACATGAAAGCAAGGTAAAAACACCAAAAATTTTTTGTTACTGCCTTTTGTTATTTGTTTTGTTGTGCTGGGATTAAACCTAGAGTCTTGCAAATCATAGATAAGTGCTCTGCTACTGAGCTACATTCCCACCCAGCTCCAAATTCTTTTTGTATAGAATTTGGTTAAAAAACAAAAAAAACCCCACATTGTTAATTCATTAAACAGAGCTAAAAATAGATCCTAAAGCCCAGGCTCTGAAATCTTTTTGCATATTTTAACATTAGGTACAAGTGTTTAAGGAATCTGCATGTTTTCCTGGTGTGGAAATATAGCTGAGGTAGAGTGAAATGAAGGCAGGTATAGATGATTGTGATTAATGAAAGGAAAACAAAAGTTCAAACTAGGTATCTTAATTCATTTCTCCATAGTGTATACCATCAGGTTCTTTAATTATGGAAAGATGGTCTCTTTCTGGGAACAAACATCTGAGGTTACATTGAAAATTTAGTGTCACCTATAGAACACTATTCCCTTAGGTCATCCAAGAGGGCACAGGAAGAATTTTTGTTACAAAAAACATTTTTGTGTTTTTGTAATGGGATTTTACCTACAATGATAGTAAAGGCTCACACTTACTAAGCAACCAAAACGTGTCAGGTAATTGTTAAGAATCATACATGGATTGACATTTGACCTCTTAACAAACCTGAGTTAAATATGATCATATATCCTCCTCTTTTATAGATGGGAGATGAGCTTCAGTAATTTACTCAATAAAACTAACTTATGTTCTTCAACAGGGATTCAGATACCAAACATCAATTAGCACTCAAGCTCCATGCCACAGTGTCTTCACATTTATGTCCTACTCAGGTAAAATCCCATCTTCTGTCAAATTTTTCTTTCTTGCAGTTTACTTAAAATATATCCTGAAAGTATTTAATAAGATGCAGTGCTTTAAAAGCATAATTTTGACTTAAAAACTAGAATATTTGCCCTATGTTTTTAATTTTTACTATCCCCAAAATGAATACATAAAACATCTGAACTATAAAAAACAGGATAAGACAAAAAATCTTGTTTTAAAAGAACATAATCACTTAGTTGGTATTCCATTCAAAGTATCTTATAATAAAAGCACAAATTGTTTCATTTGACAACACTGAAGAATGAGGTATATGAATGTTTTAATCACAGACTTTTACTGTATGCAATTAGCTGTATTTCACAACTAGCATCTTACAAAGGACAGTACCATTGTGCCTGGATAAAGTACTGCAATTAAACAGAAAATTACATTACCACAAGAAACCACCAAATATCACAACTGTCAGGGTCTACATTTTTTTTCTTCATATGTTATCATGTTTTTAATGTGATATTTTGTACCGAAGTTATGTTTTTAAGTTGATTTACACATCAAAAGTCTCCTGTAAGTGGATGTATACTAAGCAAATGGTTAGAGAAAGCAGGAGACCCTAGGAGAATTTAAGTATATGTGGTTTCTAAGTTGGATTTCAAAATACAACATAAAACACTTTATTAGTTGTAAACAAAATGCAAAATCTGTAGTCATAAAAATATTTTATTGGTAATTGTACATAATAATGAGTGGGGCTGTAAATACTTTTTAAATTTCAGGATATTGATAAATGCATAAATTGGCAGTTGTATCTGAAAATAGGGTAATATGATTTTCATAAGAACTGTCATATTTAATAAGAAGCCAATTAAACTGATATAAGATTAGTTATTTCCCAGTTCTGTGCAACAGTTCCAATTTCTGTGTTAATTAGATTCATATATCTATAACCCTGAATAAGTTTGGGACAAGAAAACAGTGATAAAACTATCATTAAGTTAAAGCTTTTCCAAAATTGCAACTTTTAAAATATGGAAAGTTTCTTTTCTGTTTTTGCCCAATGAATTTTAATGTTTTATATAGTTATTTGAATTTTAATGTTTTATATTATACAGAAAATACCAGTGTTCAATGACAATATCACCAAACCTGAATTATAAAGCTAAATAATCAATGTTTTATTCTTTACTAGTCTGCTAGTAAACATTACAATAAATGAATGTTTTGAAAAATAAGCAAACAAACAAAAATGGATAAAACCAGAAGCATAATTCAGAAACAATAATTTAGTAAAAGGTGTCAAAAACATTGGCAAAGGTTCATAACAAATTCTTTATTTAATAACAACTTTCCTATTTAACCACACCAAGTACCAGCAGGTGTATTTAAGAGGATAACCATTAAGAAAATCCTGTTGCAGCAATAGTTGATTAAGTTGATCTTTGACTTGTATACATATAACTATTTGTTTCACAATTCTCAAATATTACATATTTAGGCAGCTTGCACTATGTTATAAAAAATTTAAACTTGTTACATGCCAATAGTAGAGAATTCAAGAATCATGTGTTAGAATTCACTAAACTAAAAGTGAAAATAGACTTACCAATAACACTGCATAATGATAATTCAACCACATTTTCATGGCACATAACCGCAGAGACCAAAATGTTAGGTCAGGAAATGTTTGGTAGGCATAGATTACGGTAAAATCTAACAAATTCTGACAAAATTTTAATTTTATGTAAAACTCAAATTATGGATTGTGCACAAATGTGTTTGTCATGAAAATGTGGTATTTCTTGGCATAATCTGTGTATTTGCATGGTAGGACAGAAGTGACTAAGATAAGAAATTGGAGAAAATAAATTTTAATGAGATTCTCCATTCAATGATGAGGCTTCTCCTCTGGGTGAAGATGACCTGGACATTCCCCTCTCTGTGTTATCAGAGCTAGAGCCACTCTGACTATGTTGATCTGCAGAAGCAGCACTAGATGCAGGCGGTGACTTTGTTTTCTCCTTAAAGTCTGTAATAATGACTGTTAGATCTCCAACGGTAACTTCCAAATGCTGAGCACTACTCCGATCCACATTTTTCAATCTTGGCCTAAACATAAAAAATGATGAATTTTTTAAACTAGCTTGTCCCTCTACCAAATTTCTGAACACACACACTAAATAGTAAACTAGGCAAAAGTAACCAAATGAATACATCTATGTTTAAAGCGATTTATGTGAAACCAGCCACAAAAATATCACTAAATGCTTCAAATAATTAACATTAATTGAACCAATCATTCGTGAATCTTCAACATGACAAAAAACTAACAGCCTGGATTTAGTGGTCTCTTAATTATGCTTTAAATTTATACTATATTAAGATAGATGTTTTAAAATCAAGGAAAATAGCTGTATCACAGAGGAAATTGATGAAAGATGAGGCTGAGCTATATGCGAGGCTGTTATTCCACTGGTACCAGACCCATAACCATTTTGATTGGTCAAAGCCCATGCAAAGGAATTACCATTCTCCTGCTTTTCAAATAGTTCTTTTTATGAAGAAAAAAAAAGAACAGACAGAAATATCTATTAAAAGTCTTGTAAAATGAAAACCATCCTCATCCTTAAGCTTATATTTGTGACCTCTGGGTTTGATTTCACTTTTTGTATATATCAATGTTAAAAAAGAATATAAATATAGATAATTTTATTACTTCAACAATGCCATAAAACACTCTTCAAATTTACCTGGTTTTCTTATGACTGTTCTTTTTGCTAGTTGTTTCCTTTTCACTTTTTTCTTTTTCTACTTTATCTTTTTTCTCTTTCTTTGACTGTGTAGGGGGCACAAACTGCTGAGTAACCTGCTGTGCAACCAACTGGGAGACAGGTCGAGGTTTCCTGTGTGCATGTTAAAAAGAAAGGTTTTGGCATTATAACTTAAGAATATATATATAGTTTTATGAAAGAGTATCCCATGTTATGAGAATTTCTAGTATAAAATCCTCATATGTAAAATAAAATTACTGTGCTGTTCAACAAAAATAGAAACAAACTATAATAATGGTTAAAATTCATAGTGTAAGATATATGGTCAAAATATTAAAATATAACTGTACACAAAGCAACATGAGACATCATTTAAATGTACATCATTAAATGTTCATAGGGAGGCATACATATAAATAAACATGAATTTTTAAAAAGTTAAACTTTAAGGTTTTCACTGAAATAATATTTTATTTTATTGGTACTAGGGATTGTACAAAGGAACCACTCTACCACTATATCACACCCTCAACCCCTGAAATAATATTTTAACTTATCCCTCCTCCTCAGAGAACGAAATATCTAACTATCCAAGACAATGACTATTTGTTCTTTCCTTTTAAAACCTTTAATTTGTTCACTTAATATTTTGAGTTCAAAATTTCTCATTTCTTATTACTCAAATCCTTAAAACTCCTATGACCTTGGTCACAATCTCATTATGCATTTTTTGACCTTAAAGATCTGCTCAGTCTTTTGAGATTTAACTACTTACTCATTTAAAAAGAATATTGAGAAACTACTGCAGGACTTACACAGAAGTATTTTAAATGTCTCATGGATTCACCCTTTGGTGCAAGATAAGCTATCACCATATTGGCCCAGGATCACAGGTATAGAACTTAGGCCCCTGAAGCCCTTAAGAGAGAAAGAAAGGCAAGGAGTGGGAGAGAGCAGAGGGGGAAGAAGTATGGACAACAAATAAAATCATATTTCAACATTTAGTCTACGAAAAATAGTAACTTCATTGATTAGAAAATCCTTATCCTATTGCAGGTAGTATAGTTTTAAAAAAATTTTGTTGTTGTTGTTCTTCTATAGCAAGACAAAACAAAATACTGAGAAAATACTGCAAAATCTAACATTCAAAGCTAAAAGGAAATAGGAAACAAGATGTAAAACAGATTTCAGGAGACCAATCATGAACTTTGTTTAGAACCTATACAATATGAAGTACTGGAAGGACATCCAGGACAGATGTCTAATGCATAATTTAAAAAATAGGATTGACAGAAATCAGGGTTAGAGAGCTAGATCTAGAGATCTAAAGATCAAAATAAAAGTGTTATTGAATGTATGGTTAAGTAATGGTTGACTTGTAAGGAAATGAGCTTAAAAAAGAAAAGGATTAAGGTAGTGATGCTCAAATTCAAGGTATATCAAAATCTCCTAGAAGGCTTGTTCAATTTGCAGAGCCCTATAAGCAGAGTTTGATTCAATAGGCGTTGGGATGGAGCTAAAGGATTTGTATTTTTAACTAATTTCTAAGTTAAGCTGATGTCTCTGGTCCAGGGACCATATTAAAAAGAAGTTTAAAGAATCTGTGCTATATTATATTTGGTGAATACTGAAGAGTAGTCTGAAAGCAGAGAGCAACAGAAAAATGAAGGGGGAAAGAAAAAAAAAAGGACTGAATAAATAGGAAAATATTCAATAATGAAAAGCTAAGGAGCATGATTTACCCTTAAATGATAGAAAGTTTTAGACTTAAATTTTACAAAGTATCATCAATCTGAAGATATTGTAGGGAAACTTCCAGGAAGCTTCCAGGTAAAAATTCAAAATAAAAATTTAAAGTAACACCTAAAATAAGGAAGCAACAAAGAAGTTAAGTCAGGCGGAAAAAGCAAATGTTGACTACTTAGATGTGCCTTCCTCACTTCTCAACCTACAAATATTCCTTAAGCAAAACATCACAAAATCCATGTTATCATCTAACATTATGTGGGTGAATACTATAGTCTGAATTTTTGTGTCCCTTACCCCCAATTCTTATGTTAAAACCTAATCTTTAATGTGATAGAATCAGGAAGTGGGGAAGTAACTGTAATTAGGTCATAAGACCAGAGCCCTCCTGCATGGGATCACCACCCTTATGAAAGAGGCCCCAGAGAGCAGCTCTGTCCCATGCACCACGTGAAAACACCATCATATGAAACAGAAAGTGAGTCTATTGAACACTGAATCTGCCAATACCTTGCTTAATCTTGCTCCTTTCAGCTTCCAAAACTGAGAAGTATATTTTTGTTGTTCATAATCTACCCAGTCTTTGTTATTTTGTTATGGTAACCCAAAAAGACAAAGACAGTGGGATCGAGGGCAAAACAAAAAGAAATAATTCTTAAATGTTGATAGGTGGTAAATAGAAAATTAAGTAAGGAACAAATGGGGCGTAAGAAAGAATTGTAATGTTAACTTTACCATTTCTTCTGGGCTATAAGCACCACAAGGAAAGGGAAGTATCTGCTTTCTGCAACATTGTATAATTACTACCTACTTGATACAGTATTGAAAAAAATACTAAATATCTAACCCTTATTTGTTAATGAATGAATGGATGATAATGATCAGATCAGGGTATTGGCATATCTGTCACCTCAGAAGTATCTCATTCAGAAAAGGGGTACTGCCTCAAAGTTTACTTATTGGTCAGGATTAACCACTCACTCTACAGAAGAAAAAGAACAATAAGAATTTAATTTCTTTTTTAGTTGTACTGGAATATGGCTAGAGAAAGAAAGCTTAAAGATATGGCAAGGTTGAAAAAAAGAGTTGTTTAGGCTAGTGCCTAATGAACAGTCACTTAAAATTGAGTCACTCTAAAATATACAATGCAACTCAGTAGTTACCATTTTGTCTCACAACTTATTGTGGATTTTTGAGTTTTCATAATATTATGAATGCCAACTTCACCTATTGCACTTTGTACTGTCATTCCTTCTATCTCAAAAATTAAAGCAAAATGAATTTATAAAAATGTCAGAATAAATAAAACTGCAAACATTAAAATAAATTTATATTCTTTTGAACCTAGAATAGAAATTGAATTAAAGTTATTTATGTTATAATTAATAAACTGTACAAAGTTTATTTACACCTACTTTATTTACTGCTGCCTTTAAGTAAAACTCAAATAGTTTTCTAACCTCAGTACCTAACATTAAGATTTTTCAGGAATGTAACTATATTATGCTGTAATTAGGTACAGAATATTTTATAACATAATCACTCCCTCCCCATCCCTCCTCCATCAATAGTTTCTAACTGGTACCCCTCTGTTGTGACAGTATTCCTCAACATCTCCCTCCCATTTTCACGTAAGCAAGGATAACCCTAATTTCCAGATTCAGAAATCTTACAATACATTGCCACCAGGTCTTTTTCACACATTTCTATGTTCAGAATCGTCCTAGAGTCATTTTTCCTTTTTAAAAATGTCTTATCAATCTGAAATTAAAAGTATATTAGCAAAACTAAAACATAAATATTAAAAAAAAAAGTCATGGAGCTGGGGATATGGCTCAAGTGGTAGTGCACTCGCCTAGCACGCCTCTGAGGCACTGGGTTCGATTTTCAGCACTATGTAAAAATAAGATATTGTGTCCACCTAAAACTAAAAAATAAATATTTTTTAAAAAGTATATTAGTAAAACATAATTTACTTCATAAAACCATAAGGCTGAGTTAAATAATTTATGTTAAGTTCTTCTAAAGTATTTTAATTCTTCTAAAGTATTACACTCTTGGTGTAACTTATGAATAGAATACTCATTAAATGTACATTCTTGGGCTGGGGTTGTAACTCAGTGGTAGAATGCTTGCCTAGCATATGTGAGACACTGGGTTTGATTCTCAGCCCCATATAAAAACAAATAAATAAAATAAAGGTATTTTGTCTATCTACAACTAAAAAAAAAAAAACCCAGTACATTCTTCTAGGTGGCAAAAACCAACATGGAAAGAACACATAGCAGAACTTGTCAGGGGAGAGACTAGAACAAAGAGACAAGCCAGAAGACTACCACATCAAACTAGAAATGACATAATAGCTATAAGGATCTACACTGTGGTATAGTCAGAATGGAATGGAAACAGTGAACCTCATGACAGTTCAGAAGAATAATTTCTGTTTTGTACCTGGATACAGAAGGCTAAAGAACACACACACACACACACACACACACACACACACACACACCTGCCATTAAAGTGAAGGAAATAAGGGAATCTGAGAGAGTAGTACAGCAAGCCAAGAACAGTTCTCTGAGACTCACCAACTTGTTAGATATGCTGAACTTTGAAATTTTGTAACATGAAAGAAAAGCTGGAAGCATGAGAATAGTGATGTGATAAGTAATCATGTAATCTCTGTACTAGTATTGTTTGTTGTTTATTTTATTAATTTTTAATCATCAACAAATTTTCTAGGGCTAGGGTTATAGTTCAGTGGTACAGTGCTTGTCTAGCATGTGTGAGGCACTGAGTTTAATCCCTAGCACCACATAAAAAATAAATAAAGCTCCATCAACAACTAAAAAAAAATTTAAAAAAAAATTTCTATAGTGGTCCTTTTTGACTTTAGAAAATGTTATTTTTTCTGTTCCTGAATAATATTTTTTGTTGTTCTTTTATCTTAGACTTACTTAAATGTGTATAAAATTCCATTCTTTTATTCTTTAATGATGAGAATTAATGTATACTTAAAGATTAAAATTTACACCTCATTTCTAGGCCTGGCTCAGTTTTGGGAGAAAAGAAGCAAAAATTGTGTTTCCATGTGTGTGTGTAGTTTAAGTATTGAAATGTCTGCTGCTTTCTTAGGGCTGAATGAACTTTAAAAATGTTTCACTGAGGATAGTAGGAACATAAGTTTATGGTCTTTTTACAAATTCAGAGTAACATAATGTTCAGTGATAAGGAGTTGATGTACAATAAAAAGATCATCTATCTACATAGTAAATAAGTGCTATTTAGCCGTAGCTCAGCTGTATGCCATCATCATCCACTTACTAAGCTATGTGAGGATTAAGCTGTAATTTGTGAAATATGGTATTTACAAATTTAAGCATCCTTATGAGTCTTTCATATATATCCCAGAAAGACTGCATAAAGTTTGTCATGTCTATTGACATCTATATGTGTGTGTGTCTGTGTGTGTGTGTGTGTGTGTGTGTTTTAAACAGTAACTGGGAAATGGGGCTGTAGCTCAGTGGTAGAGTGCTTGCCTTGCACTTTGAGGCAGTGGGTTTGATCCTCAGTAAACAGATAAAAGATACTGTATCCATCTACAACTAAAAAATATTTTTTTTAAAAAGTAACTGATTTTTTTTCTTAAAAAAGACAGTACTGGGCTGGGGATGTGGCTCAAGCGGTAGCGCGCTAGCCTGGCATGCGTGCAGCCCGGGTTCGATCCTCAGCACCACATACAAACAAAGATGTTGTGTCCGCTGAAAACTAAAAAAATAAATATTAAAATTCTCTCTCTCTCTCTCTCTCTCTATTTTTTTTTTTTAAAAAAGACAGTACTACTCATAGGTCAGAAAGAAGTAATCTGTTTAATGAAACTAAAATATATGGCAAATTGAAGTAATATACTAAATCTCAATGGGTAAAGAAGGCTGAATTAAACCCAAATCTGTTGTGAATCTGGTAATACATTGCTAACAAAAGCCCAAAATTCTAACCAAGGAAAGATTTCTTTTCTTCCACATTTTTTAATTGGTGCATTGTAGTTGTACATAATGATAGGGTTTGTTGTTACATATTCATACTTGCACACAACATAATAATATAATTTGGCTGCTATCACTCCCCAACACTTCCCCCTCCCTCCACACTTCCCATCTCTTGAACCCTCTACTTCTCTCCTTTTGATTTTCATGAGATTCCTCTCCCACCACTTTTCTTCTCCTTTTCCTCTTTAGCTTCTGCATATGAGAGAAAACACAGGACCCTTGACTTTCTGAATATGACTTATTTTTTTAACATAAATCATCCCTACTTCCATCCATTTTCCTACAAATGGCATAATTTCAGTTTTCTTTATGACTGAATAACTCTATATTGTGTGTGTGTATGCATGTGTATATATCACACACCACATTTTCTTTATTCATCTATTGATGGACACCTAGACTGGTTCCATAGTTTGGCTATTGTGAATTGTGCTGCTATAAACATGGATATGCAAGTATCACTGTAGTATGATGACTTTAATTCCCATAATCAAGATAAGATTTTATAAGAAGCCACCTGTTTGACAAATGTATTGCACACTCACAGTACCAGGCACAGGTAAGGTGCTGAAGATTAACCATGGACAAGACAAAACATAATCCCTGCCCTCCTGAAATTTACTTAGCATATGGAATTTACTTATCACAAACATAAAAAAAAATAAAATAAAATGAACCACACAAAAGAAAATCATTAAAAAAAAAAAAAAACTGTGCTGTGATTAGAAAACCAGAGGACTTACAAAAAACAGCCATAAAAAAACTTTTGCCCTTTAACCACACTATGGAACTTGGAAATCTAATATTTTATCACGTTATGAAATTTACAGAATAAAGGAACAATAAATCATGTCTTTAAATTTTTAATTTTAAGATTTTAAAATACAGTAAACCCAATTTGTAATATTATAATAACTTGGCTTAGGAGGTACACCATTGTACTTTAGTATCTGCATGAGATAGGTTATAGGACCTCATCACCCTTCATGGCTATCAAAATCCAAGTCCCTTACATAAAGTGACATGATATTTGCATATAACCTAAGTACATCCTCTTATATTTTTTTTGGCAGGGGGTGGGGGGAATTCCATGGACTGAACCCATAGTCTCATGGAAACACCTGAGCTATATCCTGATCATCTTTTTTATTTTATTTCAAGACAGGGTAGGGTCTCCCTAAATTGCCAAAGCTGGCCTCCAACTTGCAATTTCCTGCCTCAGCCTCTTAGCAGGCTTTGTAAGTACATACCACTATGCCCAGCAATATCCTCCTATATTCTTTATTTATTTTTACTGAAGATTGAATCCAAGGGCACTTTACCACCAAGCTATATTCCCAATCCAATTTTTAGATAGGATCTCACTAAATTGCCCTGGCTGGCCTCCAACTTGAGATCCTTCTGCCTCAGCCAGGGATTACAGGTGTCCACTACTAGCCCTGGCCTCTCATATACTCAAACATCTCTAGGTTGCTTATACTAATAAAATGTAAATGTTATGTAAATAGTCATTATATTGTAATGTTTAAAAAATAATAACATGAAAATAAAAAAATTGTACATAGTACAGAGGCAATTTTTTCCCCCTGACAATCAATCCATTTGGATTCATGGGTGCAGAAGGGGGATTACTTAAACCTGAAGTGACTAAAGGTTTTCTTTCTTTTTCAAATGATGTTAGGAATTGAATCCAGGGTCTCATGCATACCATCCACAGGTTCTACCACTGAACTACACCCCCAGCCCTAAAACTTTTTTTTGTTTGTTTTTTGAATTTTCTCAAATGTGAACTAACTCCTCATCAGCTGTTAAGTTTACTCCTAGGATCATATCTTGTAAATGTGGATTCCTGGTTTCTGGTTGATTGGTTGTTTTTGTTGTGTGGGGTTTTTTGTTGTTGTTGTTTTGGTACCAGGGATTGAACCCAAGTGCACTTAACTACTGAGCCACATCGCCATCCCTTTTTAGTGTTTTATTTTGTTTTGTTTTTGAGACAGATTCTCAGCAGGTTTGCTTACAACCTCACTAAATTGCTGAGGCTGGCTTTGAACCTAAACCCTCTTGCCTTAGCCTCCTTAGCCATTGAGATTAAAGGCATGCACCACTGTACGACCCCTTCCTGATTTCAAATACATTTGAAATAGATTTTAACTTATCTTTACTTCCACTTCCTCTTCCTGCACTTCCATCAGCAAACATTCTACTTTGGAAAATCGTGACTGCTCATAATTTTGAAAAGAGGATAGCTGAAATTTTCTTTGCTCCAAAATCACCACTTTCATTTTTAGATGAGGTATAATATCTACTGTCAGTTCTTATGAACTGTATCAAGTAAACTTTTGTGCCAAATATATAAAATGAAAAAATATCAGTTCTTAAAGAAAAACAGGATGGTCCAAGTTCTTATTTCAAAATATTACATGATAAAATACTTTCTATTCCTGCAACATGGCCTGTTCCCAGCATTGGAGCTACCCACACCTTTCCCTTCACACTCCTCAAGCAGCCTGCTGGGCAAATAAACGTATACACATATTTCTTTAAAACGAACAAACAAAAACCAAAAAGAACAGGGCCTGGGATGTAGCTTACTGATAAAAGTATTTCCCTAGTGTGCATGAGGCCTTGGGTTCAAACCCCAGCTTCCCCAAAACAAAACTTTCTGTTGAATTACTATTTATGAGAAAATATATATATAATATATATATATATATATATAAAATATATATATATAATATATAATATATTCCTCAGAAGTATTTCTTCATTTATCAGTTCTTGAGTTTGAGAAAAGCTGACCTACATTGTCATTTGAAGACTCATAATCTGAGATTTCCCTTATATGGTTAATTTTGACATTATAATCTTGGGTGTTAACCTCAATCTCTTTGTATTCATCTAATTTATTTAATAACTGTGAAATAGCTTATTTTGTTGATTTTCTTCTCTTTGTCATTATAAACTGTTAATGAAAAAAATGTGAATTCTCAAATGTGTTCATAGAAAATTAAAGGATAATAGAAACAAAGACTACCAAAACAGTATCTCTAGACTTCTTTGCTATTTTCTTAAAAGATGATAACAATAGCTATGAGCTATTTCACAACTGCATCAACCTTTTATTCTACCATTTTTCTGTTTTTGTACTAGTTTGGTCTTTTTAAAAAAATATAGCTGGGAATAACTGATAGGTAAAGATGAAAGAAATAATTTCTAGGATGATGAAATAGCAAACTAATCCATGACAGAGAAAAAAATAAAATTACTAAAATCCTATTTACTATACATATTAGCCACTAAAAGTCCCAAAAGATCCACATAGTAATTATAAAAAATAAGCAAATTTTCTTTTCATCCTTTGAAGACTTCAAGGAAAGAATAAAACATAAAAACCAATCCTTATAAACAGAACTTCTCAAAATGAACTCAAGAGCTAAAACTGGGCCCAGTTTAACAACAACAAAAAAAAAACATTTGTGCATCTATAAACTAGAAACAATACACATTCTCTAAAACTATTCTTTAAATGCCACCATATTAGAATAACTATTTTTGGTTCTCTATTTTGTTTTCTTTTTTGCAGTACTGGGAAATAAACCCAGAGCCCTGCACACTGAGCTACATTCCCAGTCTTTTTTATTTGGAGGCAGGCAATAAAAAGTAAGCAATAATTTAGTTTTATCCAAAATAGTCTAATATTTTAGAGTAGGTAAATGTGTTACTTACATACTTAATTTTTAAAATAAAATCAACTGATTTCTTATAATTCTTACAAACAATAAGCAAAAGAGCCAGGACTAGGTATATTATTCCTGTCCGTTTCTAGTTACAAAAATCTCATATCTGGCTATGCACGGTGGCACAAACCTGTAAACCTAGCCCATGTGGGAGGCTGAGGTAGGAAGATCACAAGTTCAAGACCAACCCTGGCAACTTAGGAGACTCTATCTCAAAATAAAACTTTTTTTAAAAAAAGGGGCTATGGATGTAGCTCACTGGTAGAGTACTTGCCTAGAATGCCCAGGGCCCTGGGTTCAATCCCCTGTACCAGAAAAATGAACATAAATCTCATATTTGATGGAAATCCAGTCATTTTCTATATACTAGTATCAAATCAGTTCTGCTCAACAATAGGAACAGTCCTCACAGCATTGCAAATGTTCATTATGCTGATTCCCAGGTCCCATTCCAGTCTGAAGGAACCTGACTCTCAGGCATAGAACCCAAAAACCTGTATTTATCAGCAAGTTCTATGATTCTTTTAAATAAACAAATGTTTTAAAACAAGCATTCAGGCTCCTTAACAAACCAGCCTCTTAACTGTATTGTCAACGTTAATGTTCTCTGTGGTTTTTGCTACTCCAAGGCACGATGCTCTTTCTGTGTTTTAGCTGTATAGTGCTGAGGAAGTCCTTATAAATATAGTAGTCCTTCCTGATACTTGGGGAATATGTTACAATACCCCAGGGGATGCCTAATACTGTAGACAGTACTAAACCTTGTATATCTATGATAAAGTCTAACTTATAAATCAGGCACAGTGAGAGATTAACAATAAAACAGAATAATTAGAATAATGTACAATAGAATAACCAGAACAGATTACAATAAAATTTATGTGACTATAGTCTCCCCCTCTTTCCCAAAATATCTTATGAGATTGAAATAATTTCAGACCATTGTTGACCATGTGTAACCTAAACTACAGAAAGTAGAATCATGAATAAGGTTGGGACTACTATAGTTAAAACAACTATATCTTTTTATTTCACTTTGACTCTTAGGAAGCATTTCAATTAAAGTAAATTAGAAGTCTGGGGGGAAAAATAGAGACAATTTTCTTAAAAGTTGTAAGTTGCTATAAGTTTGGTATAAAGTTATCAATACCACTTATAGTGTTTGTCATAATAAATAACAACAGGCATACAAAATTATGAATTATCATGATTTGGAATATTTTAAATTCATCCATTATAATATATATGGCCACTAAACCATGACGACAGCAGGAACCATCAACAGATGGACTAAACCCTTCTCAAATGTGCTTTGACTAAGGCATGTGTATGCTACAGGGGTGAATTAATTTATATGCCACATGATTTTGTCAGCCATGTGGGTTCCAATTTAAAAAAAAAATCTAGCACAGTGCTAAGATATTCTTAACTAATGACATAGTTCAGAGACTGAAAAACAGAACCCAGAAATAGCAGAAATATTATTCTGAGGTTTGCACAGTAATAAACTAATCAGGCATATACCCAAAAGAAATTAAAACATATGTTCACCTAAACACTTACACACAAAGGTTCATAGCAATATTATCCATAATTGCTAATAAGTGGAAGTAATCAAATGTCCATTAACTTATGAATAGATAAATCAATTATGGCATATATTCATAAAATAGAATATTATTTAGTCACTAAAAGGAATGGAGAATTAGCAGATGCTACAACACGAATAAATCTTGAAAATATGTTAATTGAAATAAGCCAGTCACAAAAGACCAGATATTGTATGATTCCGTTTATATGAAATGTCCAAAATAGGTAAATCCAAGAAATAGTGAGTAGGATCTGTAGTAGCCCAGGACTAATGGGTTGGGGAATAGAAGGGATCTGCTGGTGGATACGGAGTTTCTTTTTGGGCCAACAAAAATATTCTAAAATTAGATTGTGGTGATCTAAAATTGGATTGTAGATGTACAACTGTATGAACCAACTAAAAACCAATGAATGGCATACTTCAAATGGATTTTACAGTATGTGAATTGTATCTCAATAAGCTGTTTTTAAAACTGCATTTGGAGCCCCTTAAACTAAAGAGAGACAGGGCTTTAGTGCCAACCAGCCTACAAAGGGTTAACAAGCATCGTTGGATGCACAATAGCCAAGTTAATCAATCAAATGTCTTGGATTTCTTGCTTCCCTTCCCCTCAGACACCATCCTAACTTGGCCTCAGTGTCTTCCTTTCCTAGACTTTCTGAAGTGCATCTTTAGATGGCTAGCATGCTCTATTTGTTTCATTTTTATGTGGTGCTAGGGATCAAACCCAGTGCCTCACACATGCTAGGCAAATGTTCTGCCACTGAGCTGCAGCCCCAACCTGAGGTGTATCTTTTTTGATAGATCAGATTCCGAGATTTTTGTGATAGAAAATCAAAAGAAAATGAAGTTAAAAGAAAAGCTGAAAGAAGTTTTGCTTTGTTGTAGGGTTGGAGAGGATTTGAAGAGTGTGAGAGCAAAACTATGGTATGAGGGCAGATGTGGAAGACAATTATTAAAAATATTTTACCCATGGGCTGGAAGTGTAGCTCGGTGGTAGACTGCTTGCCTAGCAAGCATTAGTCCCCCTTAATTTGATCCCAAGTACCAGACAAACAAAAACTTATTTTGCCAGGGTTGTCTTTTTTCAACAAGCTTGAAAAAGTATTTGCTACTTTCCTTTTTTTTTTAATTTTAAGTTAATTAATCTGCAAAATATATTAATTAGCTTAAGTGGGCTTCCCACTATAAATGTTAAAATTTGGTACACAGAACACATTTATAGAACATGCTATTTTGATTTATTTTTATTTGTTTGTACTGGAGATTGAACCCTGGGGGTTGCTGTACCACTGGGCTACAACCCTAGCCTTTCTTAAAGTTTATTTTGAGACAGGGTCTAAGTTGCTGAGGCTTTCTCTAACTAGTGATTCTCCTGCCTCAGTCTCCTGAGTTGCTAGAATGACAGGCATGTGCCATCATACCTGGCTGTTGTGTTTTTAATTTTTTTAGTTGTAGATGGATACAATACTTTTATTTATTTTTTTAATGTGGTACTGAGGATGAAACCCAGTGCCTTACACATGCTAGGCAAGTGTGCTCTACCACTGAGCTACACCCCCTACCGCCCCTTTTTTTTTTAATGGTAAAAATATTTAGAAAAGAAATGTGCATTTGCAGGACCCTTGTACAATCTCTGCAGAAGAGATAGTCTTGCATACTCCTGTACTTTGTATTTGTCTTTTATGGTTGTTTTCTCTTTCCCTACCATCTGGGATCTAATCTCTAAAGATTATATATTACCTACTTTTGTACCCCAGCACCTAATACAGCACATCTTACATGAATTAGATGCTCAAGAAACATCTCTTGATATTGATGATCATAATAAATATCAGTTAAATATAATGTGTAAATACAGCTGTTAATAATGTGAACACTTACTTAAGTGCCAACTTTCAGAGATCCATTCTTGAAAAAACTGTTTATTCCACCTTGTTTTTAAGTCACTACTTCATGAAAATGGAATGATTTAAGGAACATCTTTACTTTTTCATAAAAATTGATTACTAAAAAGCCATAAGTCATTTCTCCACCTACAAATATCGAAATTATTTCTGTTAATATTAACACTATTGGCTTTCATAAAAAAATCAAACAAATATATAGTAGCAATATTTAAACTATTATTTTTGCAGCAGAATTATGCTAACAAAATTTTATAAGAATTCTCGATATATAAAACTTATAAAAAAAAAAACCTTACACATGAAGCTGAGGTATCGATCTCTGAGTCCCCACTTACTTGGTACCTATCCTACATCTCTCAGTAATCTCAGGGGTGATTTTGTGGAATACAATTCGAAAACTGCTGATCCAAGGTAACCACACTGTAGCAATTAAACTTATCCCTCAGGTTCAATACAGTTCTCCTTCTTGTCAATTGCCTAAGTGTACTGACAGAATGCAAGGAAGAATCTCTTTTGCTATTTCAAGAACCTATGCTGGAATACTCACAAGAGTTTTTATTCCAATTTATATTGTAATTTTTAACTCCTATTTATATTGTAATTTTTAACTCCTATTTATATTGTAATTTTTAACTCCAAACACTTTTACAGAAGACCAGAACACAATTTTCCATAAATTCCTGGGAAATTACATGGTAGTAAAGAAGACTCCATTCTTTGGCACTGGAATAGTCCTTGGTGAGCACACACAAAATAGATTACTTATATCAGGTTTTTAAAAATATATATTTATTTTTTAGTTTTTTTAGGTGGACACAATATCTTTATTTTACATTTACATGGTGCTGAGGCTCGAACCCAGGGCCTCACGCATGCTAGGCGAATACTCTACCACTGAGCCACAACCCCAGCCCCTTAGATCGGTTTTATAAAAGCTAAGTTAGTGTTAAGCAATTAACTCTGAAAACTCTCTAACATCCTTAAACAGCATCCCAGAGCGGTATTAGCTTTTTACTTAACTTGAATAAAGAAAGACAATCTTCAGAACTATAAATAGGACACTCTCAATTTTCCTTTCTCTTAGCCAAATAAACATCAAGTCCTTTCAAAGTTTCTTTCCTATTTTGGAACAGTTCCTCCTTATCATTGCCACTAATACCACCCTATCCTAACCTCAAAGCAGCCTCTATACTGCCTACCTTAATCTTTACCTATTCTCCCCTTCAATCCAAGATTATTTTTCCTTGCCTCAGTATATTTAAAAATGTTTATTAAGCACTCATTATATTCCATTCACTGTTATAAGTATTAGGGACAGAAAGTAGACAAAATTTACTATTATTGTGTTCCATTTTACCAAGGGTAAACTTAATGTTTCACAGATAAAAGAGAAGCTATGCAACTAAAATACTTCATCCTATCTATATTCCTAAGTAAACCATCCCTCTCTGCCCACTGGATACCTTGTCCAGGACAACTACATCAGCAGCATAGATGAAAAATAATTATGTGAGTGAAAGAAGCCGGACAAAAAAGAAAACATTGTATGAATCTAAGTAAAATCACAGAACACGCAAACTAATGTGTATGACAAAGGAGATCAGTGGTTGTCTAGTGATGGGGATGAAAGTCAAGGTAAGCAAGGGACAGGGGTAGGAACTGAAAAGCAGCATAAAGAAACTTCTGGGGATGAAAAATAATTTCATTATCTTGATTGTTGTGATGGTTTCATAGGTGTATTTACATGTCAAAACGTATCAAAAATGCATGCTTTAATTGTGCAGTTATTTGTTATGTCAATTATACATAAATTAAAATGGTCTAAAAACATGTTTAACCTAACTGCTAATCAAATTAAAACAGGAAATACTGGGTCTCACTTGAATAATCTGAAGGGATATGGAACCAGGCTCAAATTTTATTATAGTTCCCAAACTGATTCTAATGTGCATCCAAGGTTGGGAAACTGAACTATACACTGATACTCCAAAATTTTTGTCACCAATCCTAATATCTTGTACTTGTGTCACAAGTCCAGTTGGATGTCAGGAGCACCTCAAAATAATATGTACCTGGTTAAAAAATTATACTCATAGTTGCTCCCTTTGTACACCTTTCATTCTTTGACATCTTCCTATCTTAGTAAACAGCACTTTTTTCCAGTTGTTCAGACCAAACTCTTAGAAGTAGTATTCATCCCCTTTTCTCTCAGACCCACATGTAACTCACCAGCAAATCCTTTCCACCCTTCCTTCAAAATATATCCAGAAACTAATAATCTATTACCACTTCCACTGATAATCACCCTTATTATTCTTCAAAACTAATGTTCTTCTATTGTTCTACAACAGACTATTCTACAAAGCAGCCACTTTAATCCTTCCAAATGTAAATCAGACTAAATCGTTCTTCTGTTTAAAATATCCAATAGTGTATTATCCAGGTTTATCCAGAGAAACAGAACCAACAGAGTATATATCATTATAAGAAACTTTATTAGATTGACTCATACAATTGAGAAGCTTCAAAGTCCTACAATGGCTGCATACAGGCTGGAGAAACAGGGAAATCAGTAACTACTCAGTTCAAGAAGTTAAAAGCCACCAAACAAGAAAGATAACAATGATTCAGCCCCTATCAAAGTCTGAGAGAGCTCCTTGTGCAAGTTCTAATTCAAAGGCTAAAGAACTTGGTCTAATTTCCATGGGAGACAGCAAGAGAAAAACACATCCTCTCAGAGAGAGAAAACAACTGAGAGCTAGCTTCTCCTTTTTTTCTTTTTTTTTACTCCATGTGGATGATGCTGCCCACATGCAGAGCAGAGCTTCCCTACTGGGTTATGCCAATCTTCTCGGCAAATAGCAGACAAACCCAGAAGTCTGCTTTACCATTCTCTCTTTACTATTCTCTAGGCAACCCTTAATGCAGTCAAGTTGATAACCAAGATTAACCATCACAAATGCACTCTTCCTCTCCACCAAACCACCACCCCCATTCCTTGTACTCTGGCAACCAGAGTACACAACAATAAGAAAATCCAAAATTCTTACTCTAGTCCATGAGTCCCTAACATGACTTAAACTCTGTCCCCACCTGATCTATACTTTCCCCTCTGGAACTCTGTTCCAGTGTCTTTACTCTGGCTGCCATAATAAAATACCATAGACTGGATGGATTAACTAAAAGAAATTTATTTCCTCACAGTTCTGGAGGCTGGGAAGTCCAAGATCAAAATCCAGAGGGTTTAGTTTTTGATGAGAGTGGCTTGCAGAACACCTGTTTTCACATGGCCTTTCCTCAGTGCACGCATGGGAGAAAGACTTGTCTCTTTTCCTCTTTTTTGTAAGCCTACAATTCTATGGGAGTGGGATCTCACTCTTCACACATTTACCATTGCCTCTTAAAAGCCCTATCTTCTAAGCTGGGCACAATGGTGCCTGCCCATAACCCCAGTGACTCAAAGGCAGAGGCAGGAGCATATCAAGTTCAAGGCTAGACTTAGCAAATTAGTAAGACCCTGGCTCAAAATTAAAAACTAGGACTGAGGATATGGCTCCATGGTAAAGTGTCCCTGGATTCAATTCCCAGTACCAAAGGCAGGGGGCTATCGCCAAACATAGTTACATTGCACACTGGGCGCTAGGGTTTCAACATGTGAAGTCTGGAGATACAACTTAATCCACAGTGTCCAGCTTCACTGGCTATCTATCTCTTCCAAGAGTGCTTCACCTGCTGTCCCTTGGGCCTACTCATTCCCTCATTTCTTCCAGATCTCTATTCAAATGCCAATTGCCAGAGAAGCTCCCTAACCTGACATAAAACAGTACAAGAATAGCCTGGTGTAGGTATTTTTCAAAGCTCTTCAGTTGCTCCTATTGTGCAGTCAATGGTCTACCAAATAAGATCAAATGGTACCTGAACTGTCAATTTTCTCCATATCAGACCCCAAGATCTGGATCTGTCAGGTGAAGCAAAGCACTTCATTTGGCTTTGTGCTATCTTAACATTCAGATTCCTTTTTATCTATTTTATAATCCTCAATCCCCTCTTTGAAAATGTATTGCATATGTGGAAAAATACACACAGACACACACAACTTTTAGAAAAGTTAAGAGCACCCAAATTTTATGATGAAATATAGCTTACTCCCATTATTCCCTCCCACTGGGGATCAAACCCAGGGCCTCAATGGGTTACATCCCCAGCCTATCATACCCCTGCTTTTAAACTACTTATACTTTTTTATCTCCCACAAGTACTATGCACATACTGGACAGTGAATGAAGAAATGCTGAATGAAGAACTCTTGCTCACAGAATTACCTGCCTTTTCAATTCAATTAACTATTTATCCTCTGTTGCTTTGTGAACTCCCCTATTGACTGGGTCAGATAGCAAAGAACTGAATGAACCCTACCACCAAGAGATCAATGAGGAAATGAGTTCCTCAGTCCATTTGCCAACGAAGAACTGAGGCCTGACAACAGTCACCTGAATAAGCCTGTAAGAAATTCCCCCTCCCTGGGTCCCTGAGATAACTGCAGTCCCAGTCACAACACTGATTGCAGCCTATGAGAAACCTGAATCGAGGACCTAGTTAAGCTAGCTAAGACCTAGCTAATCAGAGGATCTAGACTCCTGATCCACAGTAACCAAGACAATAAATGGCTGTTGTTTTAAGCAGCTAAGTTTTGGGATAATTTGTTATGCAGCAGTAGATAACTCATACATGCACTGAGGATGGCTTCTTTTATACACCTAGTTCTGGTCAACTGGATCTTTATATGTTACACAGAAGTTATAGGACTCACATAATTTACATTGTACTATAACAAATCATCCATCAGATTAGAGTACTTGTAGTGTAGGACAAGTTATGTTTTGGTTGAAGTTATTAAAGTAAATATCTGATTTGCCCATTACTGTATTACTTCTAATACAGCTGTTCCAGTATGTGTTTTACTCCTTTATAATGTCCACCTTTTTTTCTGTGCTCATTCCTGTACAGAGTTTACTTTGTACTATCACTCCTTAGTACTTGCACTATTCCTTTTCCTCTACTACTTTGCATGGTTAAGTAAGATATTAGTTCTCATAGTTATCAGCAGGCAGTGGCACTGCTCCTTT